GTGGATGCTTTTTAGGGAAACAGTATTTCTGGCTTGGTATCAAGCATTTAAAAGGAGGCAGTGTTCTCTGTATTTGTGTGTGATTATTGCATTCATAGATTTCCCATCTCCCACTCAACTCCCCTTTTTCTTATGCCCCTCTCTGACAAATGTTTTATTTGTCTTGACTTCATTAGTTCAAATAATATTGACCTGGCTTACTGAACCAAAATCCACACCACCTGATTTTAACATTTTTAAATAAACCTAGATGAGATAGAGGTGGGGGCTGGCAGTCATCTATAGGAATGGTTTTATCTGCTCTCCTGTCTTTTTTGGTGATTACATATCCTCTGAGCAGCTGAGATTTGTTATCAGAGGAAATTTTATATTGCTTTCTGTTCTAATCTGTAGACATCCCAAGTTAAATGTCAGTTTTATCTCACAATTCATTGCACAAGATGTGAAGAATTTCTTACTTAATAGTAAGGAGAAAATTGCTTTCAACCGGTAATGGCTACCTCTGTGATACCCTCAAAGCTGCCTACTTTCTCTCATTTTGAACGCTTCCTTTTTGTGAAGCGAAAAGAAACAATAAGAAGAATGCAGTTTACAACTTGTGCTAATCCCAACGCGGCTGGGGCGATGGTGCTCTACTTATCAGAAGGCTGGCGGTTTGATCCCCGGCTCCCCCAATCTGCATGTCAAAGTGTCTTTGGGCAAGATATTGAGCCCCAAAATTGCTCCCCAAGGCTGTGCCATCAGTGTGTGAATGGGTGAATGTGACAGGTATAGTGCTTTGAGTGATCGAAAGACTAGAAAGGTGCATTATAAGTACAGTACATTTATCATTTACATTTTTTTAAAGAGGTTACACTGTGGTGTCTTCCATTGTATTTTATGAATAGCTAGTTACCATAAAACTTCAATTAATCTGAATCCCAAATAGCTGCCTACCTCCTTTACTGGCCTGGTGTGGGAACACATTTTGACAAATGAACGCAGGTCTCCATTAAACGCCTGCTCTGGTTTTTATAGAAGTTCTTTAGATGTATAAAACCTCTTAAACCCCGCCAGGCTGCCTGCTTTAGCTGCTTCTAAGCTGCTTAGATCGTTAATACAAATATTAATGTTTAAACGTATGATCAATATGTCAGTATGAACATGCTACACATCGTTAGATCGGTTAGATTCTCCACAATTCAATAGTTCAGTTCATTTAACGGAAACAACAAGCCCCAAAGTCTAATTCTTATAGATTTACTGGTGTAACCGACATGGTACAAGAGATGAAAACAAGAAGTGCTGACTCCCGTTACCTTTGAGGCGCTCATTAAGTCCGAATGTGTTGTTCCTTGATTATTTATATTCCTTCAGTCTGTAAGGGTCCACCAATCAAAATAATCAAAACAGCTTTTCATAAAAATTAATCCAAGTTGTAAATCCTGTCATGTGAAGTCCATCACTCGCTGTCTGCTAACTTCTGCCATACTTTTGTCATCCTGCACCGTGTTGTTGTTTTTGTTACGTTGCTGCCTACAAAATAAAAGTGCATAAGCTGTCTATCGGCGCTAGATCAAATGGATCACGTCTATTTGACATTATTTGATCATTTTTATACAAGAAATATTCTGTTTGAAATAAATAAACTGTTTCACAGTTGCCTATTTCAGTTTTGTGCGAAAGGAATTAAAGTCCTGTCCCATATGGGCGCCTGTCCCAAATACAGGCAGGGTCAATTAAGTGATTTTAGCAAATAAAAGCCCGGGCTATTTATCAAAGTTTTACAGTATCCACATTCCCTGTCGATCCAGCCGACTATAGGCCTATCTCTAAATTACCATTAATGTCAAAGGTGACACAGTGATATAAATATCTTTTTAAATGACATACAATTTTAAATAAATTCCTATCAGGCTTCTGTTTCAGTACTGAGACAGAGGTCCTGTGACCAATGACCTTTTAAAAGGTAGATGCAGGGATCTGCTCCATTTTAGTTCTACTTGACATCAGTGCTGCCTTTGAAAAAATAGATCATGAAATTCTTTTAAACTGTTTGAGGGATTGGGTTGGTATCTCAGGTCATTTTTTTTTACTGGTTTAAATCTTAGCTGTCCAATAGTACTGCTTGGCTCACATCACTTGCGGGGTGCCACAAGGTTCCATTCTGGGTCCAGTTGTTTTCTCACTTTCATTGGTTAAATAATGCAAAAGAATGACATAGAGTTCCTTTGTTGTCTTTGCTTAGAGAAAATGAGTAACAGCCCTAACGGTGCATTCATGCATGTAAAACAGCAATAAAACATTTTAAATAGACCAAAATTATTATTATTAAATTATTATTATTTAGAGTATTTATTATTTATTTACCCAAAAGGAGAACAACAAATGCATGTGTGCACATTTACAGCTGAGGACTGCAGCTTACTTTGGCTTCAACTCAACAATAAGTCATGACTTAAGTTAAATGCTAAAGTTGCTGTTACTGTTACCTTGTCTGTGGTCCGCTGGCAGAACACCGGCTGCTTTCTGATAAGGTGCCGTCGTGCCGTAGCCGAGGCCACAAAAGTTTCGTTTTACGGTAGACGGACGGTAACATTACAGAGTTGTTGTTTTCTTTACCTTGAAATAATCCCATACTTTGGACACTTTCTCCTTCGTCCCTCGCTGTTTTCTGTCTTCCACCCACTTTGCAAACAGCGCCATCATAATCACGTCGTGTTCACACAGCGTAAGCACGATGTGCGACAGTAATAAATATCCCTGCGAAACACTGTGCTGTATAGTTACATGGATTAAACGAAGCATTGATTCAAAGAATTTGTGTCAAAGCATTTTATGGATCGATTTTATCGATGAATCGTTTCAGCCCTGCTGCTTTCAAAAATGGATCTTTGAATGAACGTTTCTGCTGCAGCAACAGAAAGTTCCTCTGAAATCACATCCTGATCTGAGCAGCTGATCTGCTGTTTAGTGACGGAGCAGTTTACACGCCAGTACTGCAACTGACACCACATACAAAGAAAGGAATAACGTCATGCATCACATTTGCTGAATTTACAGGGGGTCAATCATTATTATAATAATTATTAATTAACAATTTTATAATAGACAGCGTTTCACAGCGTTTATATATTTCCCCCTAACTCAACAACTCACTGATTTTTTTTTAAGGGAGTTTGGGGCGGATTAGCCACCGCCTCACGCATAGACAGGAGAACCGTTTTCTCTTCATTAGAAAGTATGAAATGAATTGTCCGGTGTTGTCTAATCTTGCGCAGTGCTGCCACACTTTGGAGGTTTTGGGTGGTGAAGGTGTTACTGCAGCGCTGATGTTGTTTTAGAAACTTCACTGTTCATCACTTTAGTCGTTGGCAACAAATTTAATAATCGATTTTTGTCGACTACGTCGATTAGTTGTTGCACCCCTCAACAGTCTGTGGTTGTCCCTGTCTGAATCTCCTCTTAATTCGCAATACAATTTCAATAGGAGACAGATCTGGACTGGTATCAGGCCAGTCAGGCCCACGCACTCTGTGTCTATGAAGCCACGCTGTTGTAGCCCGGTTAGAATGAGGCCTGGCATTGTCTTGCTGAAATAAGCATAGATGTCCTGGGAAGAGACGTCGCCTTGATGGCAACACATGTCTCTCGAAAATCCCAATGTATGGCTCTGCGTCAGTGGTACCTTGACACACATGCAACTCACCCATGCCGTGGGCCTTGATGCAACCCCATACCATCACAGATACTGGCTTTTGAAGCTTTCACTGATAACAATCTGGATGGCCATTTCATCTTTGGCACAGAGAACTTGCCTTTGTTTATTCCAGAAAACAAGCTAAAATGTGGACTCATCTGACCACAGCACACGAACCTGTGCTGTCCACATTTCAGCTTGTCTTTCAGTCCATCTGAGAAGACCTCTGGTGGACTGTGTTAAGTAACAACGGTTTTCAGAAGTACAACAGAGTCCCTGTGGCTATATTTTCCACAGAAGCATTACGGTTTCTTAGGCATTGCCTGAGGGCTCATTCAGCAGTGGTTTCCGATCTTGCCCTTTATGCACTGAGATGTATCCAAATTCCTGACTCTTTTCACAATATTATGTACTGTTGGTTTTGAAAGACCTAAATTCTCTGCAGTATTGCTTTGAGAAATGTTCCCTTTGAACTGACTAACAATTTTCTCACGAACTTTGGCACAAAGTTACTCATCCTTACTTGCAAAAACTGAGCCTTTGGTGGATGCTACTTTTATGTCCAATTATGACACCTTGTCATGCTTATGCCTTGCTTGCTTATTGTGGAGTCTCCCAACCAGGTGTTACTTGAATATTTTGCACACTTTTCAGTCTTATTTTAACTCTGTCCCAACTTGCTGAGTTTGTTGAAGGCATGAAATTCTAACTTTGTTGATATTTACAAAATACAATGACGCTGGTCAGTAAAACTATTAAAAATCTTTTTTTTTAGTTCTTCTTCTGTCAGTTAAATAAAGGTTAATGTGAATTAACAAATCCCAGATTTGGTCAGAGATGTAATATTGTTTTAGTGTTTTCCTTATTTGCTGTTCCTCTCCTCTCCTTGAATGAACATTCAAGAGGATCTCTGTTTCCCAAAACATAGAAACCTAGACTGTGTAAATGATGATGCATCCCTTTGCTCGGCGCCAGACGACCGAAGCTGCCCTAGGTGGCAGGTCTCTGGACCAGCTGGTTTTGTGTTGTACTACTTCTCTGTTATTCTCTTTTATTAATAAATTCTTCAAAGACAATGTTTTGTTGTAACTCAATTATTTGCTTAATCCCTCACCAGCAATATACAAATCACCACGAAAATTTGGCTATAGTTATTCTGTTGTTTTTACTTTTGATTTATTCATTCTGCTTATTACCTTGTGAAGCAATTTGATTTTAAAAGTGCTATGTAAATAAAATGTAATAATAATAATAATAATACAACTGCTTCACTACTTCTACTAATAATAATTATAATAATATCATGTCATCTCCTATCCAGGATCTGGGGACGTTGGTGGAACAGTTAGCCCGGTTCCTGGGTGTTTCCTGTGACAAGGCTCAGCTGGAGGGCATGGTGGAGAGCTGCAACCAGCTCATCGAGCAGTGTGGCAACTCTGAGGCACTGTCCATCTGCAGGGGTGAGTGGGACAGGAAAGTTGACTTGTGGTCTGCTAACCAGGCAGAGTTTCTGAGTTTCTGGCTCCCTGAGGTCCGACTCACCATGTCTGGGTGAAAAGGCTGGCACTGATATTTGTAAGGTCAGACACACCACAAACCCACTGAACTAACATTTAGTCAATCCATTTCTTAATTCTTTTCAAGATCCCACAGTTTGTAGCAAAACATCCTATCAGGCAGGATGAATTCAAGGGAAATGTGTAAAAAACATAGCTTCAGTTGGATTATAGGTGTTCCACAAAACTGGTAAACATCTTTCAAACCGCTTTTGTTTTAAAAAATATTGTATTTATTACTCATCTCGTCCTCACTCAATGCAACAAAACAAATGTACCCCATTTTGCAATAAACACATCTAGCTCACTTTATTTGAATAAATAGCTGTGACAGAACAGTCTCTATTTTCCCTACTATCAAATTAAACAGTTATTTCCAGGAAACTTTCAAGAAGGAAGTAATGACCCTGTAAATCAGTAGTTGACAACAGGCGGTCCTAGGGCCAGAACTGGCCTGCCAGCAATAATATCTGGCTCGCAGCCAGATTGCTTTGATAGCAGAAAAATAAAAAATAAATAAATTGATAGTGGCTGGTGCTGAAACAGATCTCAGTCATGACAGATACAGTTACTCACACAACCACTTCCTCTTAAGTGATTGTGCCTCCAAAATAAAAACGCGTGATTCAAAAGAGTGTCTGGCTTACTTGACACACCTCTGAAAAAGCCTTCAGTAAACATGTGATTGTATTCTCCTGAATTTATCTATCTTAAGTAGGACAGGACACTGTAAGAGCCTGGTCATCTTATATGGTATAAATACCTTCATGCCTCACCTGCTCCCACATACTATATACACTCACCTAAAGGATTATTAGTAATACTGTGTTTGATCCCCTTTGGCCTTCAGAACTGCCTTAATTCTACGTGGCATTGATTCAACAAGGTGCTGAAAGCATTCTTTAGAAATGTTGGCCCATATTGATGGATAGCATCTTGCAGTTGATGGAGATTTGTGGGATGCACATCCAGGGCACGAAGCTCCCGTTCCACCACATCCCAAAGATGCTCTATTGGGTTGAGATCTGGTGACTGTGGGGGCCATTTTAGTACAGTGAACTCATTGTCATGTTCAAGAAACCAATTTGAAATGATTGGAGCTTTGTGACATGGTGCATTATCCTGCTGGAAGTAGCCATCAGAGGATGGGTACATGGTGGCCATAAAGGGATGGACATGGTCAGAAACAATGCTCAGGTAGGCCGTGGCATTTAAACCATGCCCAATTGGCACTAAGGGGCCTAAAGTGTGCCAAGAAAACATCCCCCACACCATTACACCACCACCACCAGCCTGCACAGTGGTAACAAGGCATGATGGATCCATGTTCTCATTCTGTTTACGCCAAATTCTGACTCTACCATCTGAATGTCTCAACAGAAATCGAGACTCATCAGACCAGGCAACATTTTTCCAGTCTTCAACTGTCCAATTTTGGTGAGCTCTTGCAAATTGTAGCCTCTTTTTCCTATTTGTAGTGGAGATGAGTGGTACCCGGTGGGGTCTTCTGCTGTTGTAGCCCATCCGCCTCAAGGTTGTGCGTGTTGTGGCTTCACAAATGCTTTGCTGCATACCTCGGTTGTAACGAGTGGTTATTTCAGTCAAAGTTGCTCTTCTATCAGCTTGAATCAGTCGGCCCATTCTCCTCTGACCTCTAGCATCAACAAGGCATTTTCGCCCACAGGACTGCCGCATACTGGATGTTTTTCCTTTTCACATCATTCTTTGTAAACCCTAGAAATGGTTGTGCGTGAAAATCCCAGTAACTGAGCAGATTGTGAAATACTCAGACCGGCCCGTCTGGCACCAACAACCATGCCACGCTCAAAATTGCTTAAATCACCTTTCTTTCCCATTCTGACATTCAGTTTGGAGTTCAGATTGTCTTGACCAGGACCACACCCCTAAATGCATTGAAGCAACTGCCATGTGATTGGTTGATTAGATAATTGCATTAATGAGAAATTGAACAGGTGTTCCTAATAATCCTTTAGGTGAGTGTATACCAGCACTTTAACCCCCAGGGGCCCTAGACAATTATTGTAAGACACTGTTTACTCATCACACCCTAACACTGGAACATTACCTTCTTTACAACTGAACCCGCCATTGGTCTTGACAAGTGTTGGGAAAGTTACTAGAAGTAAGTAGAAGTAGAAATCGTCTTAAAGTCTTACTTACTTTCACTTTGTACCTTCTGCTCATTTCCACAACTAAATATGTGAAAATAGGGCCCAGGTTTAAAAATCCCAAAATAATCCTTTAAATAGAGTCGTTACAGTTATAGTATACCAAGAAACATTGACATACATCTCACTCAGAGCAGCTGGAAGGGTGGCATTCATATGTAGCATGAACTGAGTTTCCAGCCAGAATGTGTTCATTATTGAACATGAAACAATTAATCATATGACATTTTAAAAAAAATATATAAACATATAAATAAACATGTAAAATATTGTAAGATATTAAAATAAACTCATTATTGTTTTGTTTTCATAAACTTAATTGGGGAAAAATGTCATGAAGAAAAAAAAATTGACATAAAAATGTTTATGAGTTTTCATAATCCCTTCAGTTATTTCACAAAGGTAGTTATGTGATAAAATCCTTTTTAGGGTTCCATAATTATCATTATGACATAGGATTCTGGGGTTCTGAGCATGTGTATGAGTTTGAGATGATTATAGCACCACTGTGTGGCTACATGTTGCACCTACACCTTAGGTTGTGTTGTTGATTTACGAAAGGGTTGCGTGAGTAAAAATGTGTGCAAACCTGATATCACCCGCAAATTAGCACGTAAGCTGATCTACTAATGGTGTGCACGCAGAATGACGTTTTTTAAAAGTGCAAGATAGCACCTGTTGTTCATTTACTACTTTTGCCTTAATGAATATGCAATTTGGGGTTTAACATGCAAATACATTTATTTAATACACGCAATGTGATCTACCAAGCCTAAACGCAATTTCATGTGAGTGCAACAGCATCTGTGTTTAATATGTTTGAGAGGAAGGTGCAAACCGCCAAGTGTTGCAGAGATGGCTGCTGTTATTGTTGCCAGAAGGAGACACAGCCTTAATGAAAGAAAAGGTAGAGAAATTAACAATATTAGAGAATATTATTCTATATCTAATATGTAGAAATAAAATTGTTTTATTTTATTTATTCGATGAACTATATGATAGAATATTTTTTGTATTTTCCTTTAGCTTTGGCAGTACTGTTGTATTAACATTCATGACCTGACTTCTTTTCTCCGTGAGATGGAGAGTTTCGAAAGTTGGTGGCGCTGCGGACAGCCCCCAGCTGCAGTTGTACATGGATCATGCGTAAAATTCATCCAGCCAGAGGGAAAGACCACCAACTGTCGTAATATAGCGACACAACCCATTGTAGGTATCGGAGAGGGAATGGGGCGTTGGGGCGTCCGGGGCAGGGACAGGAGATCACGGTGCGGACGGTCGGTGATTGTTCCCTCTGGCTGGATGAAGCACGATCTGCTGGCATTTCCTCACGTCTGGGTCATTCCAGCATACTGTAGCTGTTTCTGCTTTCCCAAAGCAGTTTTTCAGGTTTGCTGTCCCAAATACTTAGTGCATTCTTAGTCAGGATGGGCAGGTACATACGATTTCCACATACTGGGGACGCAGTGAACGACACAAACCAAGGTTTTTACGCTGTGGTTGCTTTCCCTGCCGACTCTCCATGGCGGAAACCATTAAAACACGCAAAACCCTCATTTAAATACTCCCACCTCCATTGTGTTTGCACCTGTCTGTTTGATTTAATTCAATTTACTCTTTGAGTTTCATGTAGACTTTATTTATTCCCTGATTTGTTATTATTTTTGTAATGATTCGGTTTGGTTTACTTTGCCATTCCTCTTTAGATTTTTCTGTTTACATGTTTTCTGGTATCTGTTTTTTTTTTCTGTTTTCCCATCAAATTTGTTTTCTTTTAGTGCATGGAAGTCTGGTGTCTGGTCTGCTATAGGCTTAACTCACAGTCGACAGTCAGTCTGATCTGTCTCACACACGCCACAGCAGGTGAGTCACTGCCACGTCAGGTAGCATTCACTGCAGCCAAAACATGTCAATGGCAAATCAACATCCATCAGAATTCATGGGTTCTACGTTACATTCCTCATTCAGAAGAGTAACACTTTCATAACTCCTGAGCAGGGCCACATAAAGACAATGGCAATAGCCAACTGCAAAGGTATTACAACAGCAGTTGAAGACATGTTACACCCTTATTCTGATTTATTTGTTGCTAGGAACAGGAAATTCACACAGGACATGAATTCAGTTCTGCCTGTAAATGAAGAATTAACCGGCAGCAACATGCTGCTGAAAAGATGAAAAGACAACATATGTTAGAAAAGCAGTCATCGAATACACATCTAGTTTTGCTTAAAATTGAGGGCCTTTGCCAAGAGGTTTATTTAAGTAAATGAAGGAATTATTCAGGGAGGAGTATTTGGTAGTAGCTTAGTAATGGCCAACAGCAAATGAATCTGTTTTATCACTCTTAATGACGTCTTTTATGCGAAAAAATGTCATAATTTAAATAAAATCAGAAAAAGAATAAAATGAAAACTGAGCAAACTCCAGCTAAGCTAGCAAGTGGATCTTGAATTAAAATTATTTTCTCAACAAACTTCCTCAAAGGTCAAGAATGAACTTTCATGTATGAAAATAAAATCCTTTAGTAATGTGGTGTAATTGGTTGTATTTTGTCAGAAGATGTTTGGTCTTCCCTGAACTCCAGTTACAACTTTTTGTTGCAATGTGTGTTTCAATTCCAATGTTTCCATTTTCCCTTTCAGTTCTGTTGTCAGTGCCAGTGTCCTGTTATTGTACTTTGTTATTCAGGGATGGACAGTAATTCACCTGGCTTGTATGAAATATCATTAATTGGGCTGCAGGTGTCTTATCAGATTTTACAGGACAGCTGGAGAAACTATCAAAAAATTGTTAAAGCTAAACAAACACAATATTTTTCAGAAATAGTTTCTCAAAATGCCAACAATCCACGTGTTCTTTTTAAAACCATTGGGTCTGTGTTGAACCCTCCACAATCCACCTCTATTGAATTTTCACCTGATACTTGTGAGACATTTTTGGACTTTTTTAACAGTAAAGTTTCAAATATCAGAGCCAATATATTGCCCCCCTTTTTAAACTTCTCCTTAAACATGCACTGCTCATCTATTTTTTGTCAGTTCGAGCCAGTTTCACTGCCATCTCTTACAAAAATCATCAATCAAATTAAACCCTCCACATCCCCCACAGACCCTGTCCCTCCACACCTTTTTAGGGATGTGTGGGAAACGATTGGCTCTCATGTTGAGGAAATTATAAATAGTAGCCTGTCTTCTGGAGTTGTGCCTGCATTTTGTAAAAAAGCAGTGATTGAGCCACTGATTAAGAAAGCTGGACTTGACTCCACAAATGTTTCAAATTATCGCCCTATTTCAAAGCTTCCCTTTTTATCGAAAACTTTGGAAAAATGTGCACTTATGCAGCTACAGTCTTTTCTGGATGCACATGGCACTTTGGATATTTTTCAGTCAGGTTGTAAAGCATTTCATAGCACTGAGTCTGCATTTTTAAAGGTTTTTAATGACCTGTTTTTAATGACAGATTCTAGTGATTCAGCCATTTTAGTGCTTTTAGATCTCACTGCTGCTTTTGACACAGTTGACCACACAATTATTTTATCTCGCATGGAAAACTGTGTGGAAGTCAGGGGGACTGCCCTAAAATGGTTCCAGTCATATCTTTCAGGGAGATGCTTCTTTGTTTAAATGGGGGACTCTACCTCATCAACTGCGCCTCTTGACTGTGGGGTCCCCCAGGGATCAATTCTTGGTCCTATTCTTTTTGCACTGTACCTCCTTCCACTTGGAATAGTTTTTAAAAAGCATGGTATCTCCTATCATCTTTATGCTGATGATTGTCAAATTTATGTGCCAATCAGAAAGCATGAAGGCAGCCCCATGACACCCCTACTTGACTGTTTAAATGACGTCAAAGCGTGGTTAGGCCAAAATTTCTTAAAACTAAATGAGAGTAAAATAGAGATCATGCAGTTTGGCCCCACTAACTCCATGATAGACTTGGGCCCCCTCAATGACTTTGTGCATCCTGTTGTAACTAACCTTGGGGTCAAAATAGACAGTGATTTTAAACTTGACAAACAAATAAATGCGGTTGGGAAATCTAGTTTTTATCATCTTCGCCTTTTAAACCGTTTTTGTCTTTTAACAGTTTTGAACAAGCTACACATGCTTTTATTTCTTCTTGTTTAGACTACTGTAATGCACTTTATATCGTTATAAATCACAACGCACTTTCAAACTTACAGTTAGTCCAAAATTCTGCAGCACGTCTTTTAACAGGAACCAAAAAGCGCGGTCATATAACTCCACTTCTTGCCTCATTGCACTGGCTTCCTGTTCGTTTTAGGATTGATTTTAAGATTTTATTGTTTGTTTTTAAAGCTGTGAATGAACTGGCTCCAACATATATCTCGGACCTCATCCAAATTTATACGCCAGTGCGGTCACTGAGGTCAGAGGGCCAGCTCCAGCTTGCGGTCTCCAGGACAAGACTTAAAACTTGGGGGGACAGGGCCTTTTCTGTGGTTGGACCTAAACTCTGGAACGCTCTGCCCCTCCATGTCCGAACAGCCCCTACAGTTGAGTGTTTTAAGTCTTGTCTAAAGACACATTTTTATTCTTTGGCTTTTAACTCCGTGTGAGTTGTGTGGTCCTCTGATGTCTTTTGTTGTTTTACTGTATTTTAGTATTTAAACCTGATGCTCTTATTCTGTTTTAACAAAATTTTATATTAATTGTTTTGTATGTTTGAGTCTTCTGTGCAGCACTTTGGTAACTTTGTGTTTGTAAAATGTGCTATAGAAATAAAGTAGATTGGATAAGACAAGTTGGTCTATTTTTGTTAACCAGTCATTTCAATACAGAGGTGTGACTCAAATGAAACCAGATACTTTCAAAACTGAGTGCGACATTTGAGATGCAAGTTGTGTTGAAAGGCAACTGAACGCTGCATTAATATTTGACATTCCTCCCTCTTCCTGTGTGTCCTGCCTGCAGGTCGTGTGGGTCTTTGGAAGGACATCTTCACAGTGTCTATGAATGAAAAATTTGATGCGACGTACAGACAGAAGATGGGCAAATCCAACCTGACCTTTGACTTCTGTCTGTGAGGGGCCCCTGACCCCGCCCTCCCCCTGTACCGCCTCCCTACTCTCCTCTCCACTGATCTACTTCAGTACAGTCGACAAGTGCACACTTCCTGCCAAAAGCCATGCTCTTACATCTCCATTCAGTCAATCAGTCTGACAGTGGGATTACACTACAAGCCTCAAGTCATCAAAAAACCCTCCCTTGTGGACTGATAAATCCAGACTTAGCAGGAATCTATTGAAATTTCTCAATCAATATTCAAACCAAACCTCTCTCAACCCCTGCCTCCACAGTTTGTTCCCACTGCTGTGTATGTGTACAAACCAAGCAGGGTTCCACCCGTATGGGTTTTTAGGGGCACATACGTTCAATACAGGGAGCTATGTGCGGATAATTATAACTGAAATACACAGAAAATCACATGTCAATAAGGGAAAAAACGCCACTTCAGTCGTTACACTTTTTATGTAATGATTATCTTTCTTCTGGGCAAAGTTGCTCTGTCTGTTATTTGCCTGTCCAGAAGGGCCTGGTTATGCTAGAAAAAAAGCAGCTAGTAGAAAGTGTTGTCTGACCACATCTAAAGTCAAACGTGTTTATATCTGTTCCAAATGGTAACATTCAAAAGGTAGTTTTGGCGTCTGGTCTGTTTTTCCCGTGCGATGCAGCTAGCATGTAAACACTCTCTCTACTCTCTCACCACTGAGTTTCAATTCTCCAGATTATTCCCCCCACATGATGAAATATCACAATCTGTCCATCCACTATAGCTATTAGAAACAGTATCACTGCTGTTCGCGATTGAGTTTTTTATATTACGTACTTATTCCACAAATTTAGCCAGTTGTGTTTAAACAGAGAGCGAGAGAGGCGGCACAATTGTCAGATAGCTCTTCCTCCTGTCTGAACCCGGAGTGAGATCACTTTCTCTTGGGGACCCTACTGAAGCCCCTATTGCCCTTAACAACTCAGGTCGCACTTCTCGAAGGGGTTCGTAGGCTCTCTGGACTGGCTCTTAGGACAGTGTGAGGAGCTCAGACAGTTAGCTTTCAATGTGCAGTTAAACTGAAAGGAGCAAATTCCATTCATCTTTTAATGATGCTTGGAAGTCTCCATGTGGACATACTCCAAGCAGGTCCAGCTGGGAGAGGACCCTGGGGCAGACCCAGAACATGCTGGAGGGTTGTATATCACACCTGGCCTGCTTCCACAGAGAGATATGTAACGACTGCTTTACTTATTCTGTGATTGCCTTTATATTCTAATCTATGTGTTTGACCAGGAGCCTAGGAGGACACCAGTATATAGGGTGCATCATAAATCCTATAGGGTTCAGCTGAGGAGTGGTGAAACTCTTTTGCCCTGATGTGTTTGCTCTAACAAGAGGGAGAGGAAGGGCCATTTTGGCCTACTTGGGCTGATCACAAGGAGACTATGCTCAAGCTTACCTTCTAGAGGGTAATGAGTCCTGAACAGGTAGTGTAAAGTGGGTTTTTTCTGCAGCTGCTGGAAACAAGGTTGATGATTGCGGTGACATTGAACCAAAATAGTGAAGTTGCAAGCTTGAAAACCAAAACAATATCTAAAAGATGCTGAAACGCTCCTAGAGTTGGGGGGAACAGTTTTTTTTTATTTAAGTCATGCATTCACTTTGACTTGTGATTTGCAGTGTTTATCAGCCACAAATATCTGTACGAAACCTCAGATATTCTCTTCGATGATTCAGGATGTCAGGTGGATAGACCCTCTGAAACATTTACACCATCATGAGACACTAACCTCTCCAGAGAAGCCAAGGTTAATGAAACTATTTTATGGTCAGTAGCGCTATAGGTGAGGCCACACACACCTGGTGGTGTTGTGGTGTTGGTGGGGAAACTGGAACACATTACTGCCTGTAAGTGAGGAATAAACTTACCCAGCAACACCCTGCTGTTGAAAAGATGTTGGAAAGGCATTAGGCACGATGGCTGATTAAGACTTATCTACAGTTCTAAAATGCCTATGGATGTCACAAGTTACAGATGTGATGGATATCTTCTAACTAAAGAACTTACACAGATAACAATAGCCATTTCTGCCCTTTAGTTTGTCAAACCGATATATTAGTCTAACCACTTGTCTGGATGCCGCAGTGGCTCATAGTCAGGTAGACGCTTGGAAGGTAACTGTAAGAGGGTAAGCCAAACCAGTAGGGACGTCTATCACGCAGCTCAGTTTCACAGCTGAGACACTGTTAGATGATCATTGTGCTGCAGTGCAGCCTCCATCACTGGTTGTCACTGGACACTTATGTACAATCTGTATGTGAGTGTGTGTCTGAGAGAGACAGAAAGAGGTAGAAAGAGAGTTATATCTTACGTTTGTACCTCCATAATGTATCATGGCTCTCAGACTGACCTACATATCAAATTCAAGGTTTCATCAATGATCTTTAAAACCACCATATGTAGAATAACGTATGATAAAAATGTGTAACTCTTCAGTGATAGTGTCAAAGATAACGCTGTGTTAGCATCTGATGCTGAGATTAATGGGCTGAAAGCAAAGACGGCTGCAGGATTTTCGCCTTACTCTGAAACAAAAGCTTACACAATCAGAATCAATTCTTATTGATCACATAAAAAATCTACAAATAATGTCACTCCTAAACACTTTGCTTTAAAAAAAGTTTTAACTGGTATTTTGTGTACAACCATGGTGGTTACCTTGTCAGCATTTGAAACAATCTGCTGCGCTGTATTTACTGTACATCATAAAATAGAAACCCTCTGGTGGTTAAGATGAGCAGCTGCTGCTCAGTTGCAGATACAGCTGTGCCAAACACTGTTGAAAGTATATAATGTATTTTCTCCCAGGTATAAAGGCATTTTTAGACCCTCATCTTTAATGTAGACAAACATTTAAACCTTGTCATTATTTTCTCTTTTTTAGTTTGTTTTGTTTGGAGAGTAAAAATGTGATAATTCAAAAGATATGATGTGTACACAAAGATATACATATATACAGAGACACGTAAAGCTGTATATACATGAATAAAAAATAAAGCCTGTGCAGGAGAGGTAGAAAGCCAAAAACTTATGCAAAGGCCTCTTCTAAATACTCAAGGCGACATAAACAGGATTACATAAATCAACAAGACATGACAGAGCTCTGTAAATAACACCGAGGACACGGAGAGGTAACTCTGCTAAACTTACATCAACACCACAGAGCTCCATCAGATTTCCCTCAGGATGGTTAAGACAGCTAGTTAAGAGAAGTGATGAGTGTGTTTGTTTTGATAGTAAAATCTCACACATGGCTAGATAAATCTGCCCAGGGACCCCTCCCAACCACATGTTGCAATTCAGAAAACACATTATTGTGACACTTAAGTCTTAAAACTACAAGAAAAGATAATAATGCAAGACCCACCTTAGTTAATATTAATATTATTTCCTATATGAATTAGCTGTTGATCAAATTACATACAACACACTTACACAGAGTGAACTTAGGTGCCATTATTTTTACGTGTTTCATAATCAGATTCCTTCCTAATGTAATTTTAATACACTTGTTTACACGTGGCCACATTCACACTCTGTTAGCTACATCACAAATCTGCTTACAGTCCATCTCGGTGTTCCCAGCTACATGCAAATTAGAGTTGGCTCTACTTCAGCCCAGAGGGGGGTGGTAATGCACCTGAAACTGTTTGGTACACTTTGCATGTGGCAGGAAGAACAATGGCAGGCTTCGGTTGCCAGACCATGTACAGGTATTTCAACAGACTATTGGCGTAGTTACACTTCAGGAGAATAAAGACTGACTATGCGTGTTAGAGAAATGGATGTATTCACACCTATTAAACACCTGCATCTCAAACCACCTCCCATGGTGGTTGGATTTCAGTCCATATCTAATACTTCTTGGATGCATTTACACGTTGCTTTTTAGCTATCAAATAGCTAACTGAGTCACCCAAGATGTATGGAGTGCATAAGTGGAAATGGGGCTCTGGGGAACTGATTGGTGATCCACACACTCTTTTTCCTGTGTGAACCAGACTACACATTCCCACTGACTAGTGAACAGTGTGTTTCTCTTTGTTTATCTTGGTTTTCTCAGAAATGTCAGGTTAGGGCTGCAGGAGAGGAGAGAGCAGCGTATTATTAACCCATAACCAGCATTAACTGTGTTCTGCTACTCACTGTAGTGTCACCACAGCAACGGCATCTGGAGTCAGACTATCCACCTGAGGCATCTCTAACAACCAGTCTAGCATCCCCTCCTCTTTCTCTATTGCCACAATGGTTTCCAGTCAGCAGATCAGTCCCTGCCCTCTGCCAGACACTTGTGAATGTCTTTATTGTGTGGATGTAAACAACAACCTCAGCACACACTCGTCACGCCGCCTCTTTCACGGCTGCTCATTCTTTCTTTTCATTGTTCTTTCTTCTCGCTGTCACTCTGTTTACAGCCGTTGGCAAGGCTTCAGCTGCCCCTCTCCACTTTTATGGTTTGTTTGGGTTTTTATACATGCCTGTCTCTGTTTCTTGGGTGTCTTGCGTTGTATTTTACATGCTTTGCTTGCTGGTTTATTAATAAAGGTATGTCTTCAGGCAGTATCTGATTACTGTGTGTTTAGTGTTGTCAACATGCTGCTATCAGGTGAGATGGAAGTTTTAGATTGTTGCTGCCATGAAATGCAGGCTGGTAACAGAAATTAAGCACAGCACAACCATAAGGGGATTCTGGGTAGGCAATCATCAGGTAGTACATGAACATCCATAAAGAAATACTCTTACACTACAGCACTACTTATCAACCACAAACGCTTAAGGTAAGGGTGTGAACACACCTGCATATGTACTTTAGATGAGCTGTAATGACATGAGACGTAAGTCTTCATGGGCCCTTATGCTTTTCTCAAGCATGTTTTTTGGCCGTGGTGAAAGAAGATACAAAATCTCTCCCTTCTGTCGAAAGATTGAAAGAAGAAATAATAGAAACTTCTTACAAATGAAAAGTTTAATTCATAAGCAAAAATGCAGCCTTTGCACATGCAAACACTGACAGAATAGCCTGATTATGCAGTATATTACACTATTGGAATATCATTACTGATACGAATGATTAAAGTGTGAACAGAACTTCAATGAATTGTATTTTGGATGCTCATTATATATATTTTAAATATTAATAATCAGCTATAGTTGTTTAATGGATGGAATGGAATGGAATGAACAATTATAAAGCAGAATCAAATGAATAAATCAGAATTAGAACTCAACTAAAATAGATGCAATTAAGTATAGTACTGCAGTAAATATACTCAGTTGTTTTCCACCACTTTTTTCGGTTGCTACCCTTTATTTAATGTCCGTCCTGTTATCGAACACTTCAAAGAGAAACATACATTCTGTTTTTTGCATCCATGGTGACCAGATAACTGACAAAAGCAGGTGGAGGCAACAAAACCAACCTGTGTTAACAGCTGATTCATCTCTCACACACACACACATACACACACACACACACACAGATCATGTTCATGTGTTAACTAGCAACCGCAGTCCGTCCTCCCAGTGTCGTTTATCAGCCTCCTGTCTTCCTACTACCTCTCTTCCCACACATACCAGTTTTGCCCAGTATGGCCAAGCTGCTGCCACTTCACCCTGGACTGAGACAGCTGGTCATCGGTTTGCGGCCCCACACGGCTCCCAGCACTACCACACACTCCTCCACAGGCAGACAGAAGGGTGGGGCATCCAGGCAGACAGGGATCCACACAGATGGAGGTAAGTGTTCAGTTCACTCTGCTATTTTTGCCTATTCGAGCTTTAATATTATTGAATGATATTACAGTTTACTGAATATTTCTTTGTCAGAAAAGTCTTGGCTTGTGGTGTATACACCACCTGAAAAGTTTGGTGGCACTTTCTAATAATGAAGAGTTTCTAAGTTGTAACTAATGGCCTCATTAATGGTTAATAGAAGACTTACTGTTTTTACCCTGTCCTGCCCAGCAGCCTGGGATGCAGTATGAGGAGCTGGATACCATGTTGTGCCAGACAGATTTTACTTTAACAAAGGAGTTTTAATTTAGTCCTTGGTCATCTTTATTATTGGGAATAATAATGGGAAGGAGGGATTTGGAGGAAAGAAAAAAAAGGGGTGGGGCGGAGGGTGTTTCTGTATGTGTGTATGTGTGTGTGTGTGCACAAGCCTGTCACGCAATGTAGTTATTAGTGAGAGTGGGCTGCCACAACAGGCGCACTGGCCCCAGCTGCATGGGAGTGAGACCACAGGAGAACCAGGGGCAACAGCCCTCAGCCCAGCCAGAGGCCACCCTCAAAGTGCCGGCAGAGCCATAGCCCTGGGCCCCGCGAACCCAAGGCCTGTCTAGCCCAGACATCCACCCCAACGGGAGCAAGCCAAGACCCACCACGACAGCACCAGCTGTGCGCCAGCGGAACTACCAAATGCACTCGTCCCGGGAAAGCCGGCAGGGGGCGCCACATCCATCAAGCCCAGGGCATGTGCCAGCGACCACCCCGCCCAGCCTAAGTACAGGCCCCTGGGGCCCAGACTCACAGCCTCACCCACACCCAGTAAGCAAGGTCCCCTAGTTCAGGCCAGGAGCCTGCAGCCCCCAGCATCATTTAGATCACATTGTAAAGATCTGTTTGAACTTTTTGAACCCAGTGATCAGTGGCAACAAAGCCTAATGAAAACTACAGCAATTCACACACACAGCCTGGCAACCCAAATCTTTTCCTTATTAATGGCTTAAAGCAGATATGACAACATTAGAAAACAATAGTTACAACGTATGGACTAATAATACACTGCTCAATGATGAAATGAATGGAAGGGATCTTTATGAACAAAATAGTTAAAATTTCAAAATCTTTAGTTGTATAATTTGTTGCAAACAAATGGCGTTACTGTGGTCAGTGGTAACCACAATGACCAACTGACTGAGGGCTGGATTCAAAATCACACCAAAAATCAATGTAAAGAAATTAAATATCACAGGCTGATCTAACTTGCATTATTTTCTTTGAAATGGCGGACCTGCCAATGCTGGTGAATCTCTGGTGAATGCCAGTCGAGCTTGACGGTGCTGGGCTGTTAGCATAGATCTCACTAGAGGAGGCCAGGCCCTTTCTGGTCCTGTCCAGCTCTCCTCGTGTAATGGCCCATCCCTTGGTATCTCCTCCATGCTCTTGAGTCTTTGCTTGGAGACACAGCAAACCTTGTTGATAAGGAATATTGATGTTCCATCCTGGAGGAGCTGGACTACCTGTGAAACCTGAATGGGCTGCATGTACCACATCATGCTACCAGTAGTAACAAAGACACTAGCAAAACTAGAGAACAATCAGTCAGGAAGGATAAGGAGAGAGCAACTGTCTGTGGACACCACTCTCAATACCATTCCCATTTTTGGATGTTGTCTTGTTGTTGCCTCTCCAGTGCACCTGTTGTCACTTTTATATGCACCACAACAGATGACAGTGATCAGAGTTCAGGTCTAGCTAAGAGTCATTAGCTGACCCCACAAGTGTTCATGGACCTTCCAGCTCTAGTTATTTCTCTTATGTAACTGTTCTTGCTTGGGAGACAACAGATTGATAAAGTAGAGACAGTAGCTCAGGCGTCAGACTAGCAGATATCTGTGTTCTCTAGGGATCTGGCAAGGTTGTGTCTTACAAGAATGTTTACATGAACTTCCTGGCTCCACAGATTAGAGTGCAGTAATAAATTCCAATATGATGTAGCATTGGAGTCTAAACATCAGATTTGTTTTTCAGGTTAAGGCCAGGTAAAGATGAACTAAGAGGGAAACATACAGGACCTAGGGGGAGGATAGAAACATAAAAGGGACCAATAGATGTTCTCCTTAAGATACAGTGGGTACGGAAAGTATTCAGACCCCTTTAAATTTTTCACTCTTTGTTTCATTGCAGCCATTTTCCAAAAATCAAAAAAGTTCATTTTATTTCTCAGTAATGTACACTCAGCACCCCATCTTGACCGAAAAAAACAGAAATGTAGAAATTTTTGCAAATGTATTAAAAAAGAAAAACTGAAACATCACATGGTCATAAGTATTCAGACCCTTTGCCGTGACACTCATATTTAACTCAGGTGCTGTCTATTTCTTCTGATCATCCTTGAGATGGTTCTACACCTTCATTTGAGTCCAGCTGTGTTTGATTATACTGATTGGACTTGATTAGGAAAGCCACACACCTGTCTATATAAGACCTTACAGCTCACAGTGCATGTCAGAGCAAATGAGAATCATGAGGTCAAAGGAACTGCCTGAAGAGCTCAGAGACAGAATTGTGGCAAGGCACAGATCTGGCCAAGGTTACAAAAAAATTTCTGCTGCACTTAAGCTTCCTAAGAGCACAGTGGCCTCCATAATCCTCAAATGGAAGAAGTTTGGGACGACCAGAACCCTTCCTAGAGCTGGCCGTCCGGCCAAACTGAGCTATCGGGGGAGAAGAGCCTTGGTGAGAGAGGTAAAGAAGAACCCAAAGGTCACTGTGGCTGAGCTCCAGAGATGCAGTCGGGAGATGGGAGAAAGTTGTAGTAAGTCAACCATCACTGCAGCAATCCACCAGTCGGGGCTTTATGGCAGAGTGGCCCGACGGAAGCCTCTCCTCAGTGCAAGACACATGAAAGCCCGCATGGAGTTTGCTAAAAAACACCTGAAGGACTCCAAGATGGTGATAAATAAGATCCTCTGGTCTGATGAGACCAAGATAGAACTTTTTGGCCTTAATTCTAAGCGGTATGTGTGGAGAACACCAGGCACTGCTCATCACCTGTCCAATACAGTCTCAACAGTGAAGCATGGTGGTGGCAGCATCATGCTGTGGGGGTGTTTTTCAGCTGCAGGGACAGGACGACTGGTTGCAATCGAGGGAAAGATGAATGCGGCCAAGTACAGGGATATCCTGGCGAAAACCTTTTCCAGAGTGCTCTGGACCTCAGACTGGGCCGAAGGTTTACCTTCCAACAAGACAGTGACCCTAAGCGCACCGCTAAAATAACGAAGGAGTGGCTTCACAACAACTCCGTGGCTGTTCTTGAATGGCCCAGCCAGAGCCCTGACTTAAACCCAATTGAGCATCTCTGGAGAGACCTGAAAATGGCTGTCCACCAATGTTTACCATCCAACCTGACAGAACTGGAGAGGATCTGCAAGGAGGAATGGCAGAGGATACCCAAATCCAGATGTGAAAAACTTGTTGCATCTTTCCCAAAACGACTCATGGCTGTATTAGATCAAAAGGGTGCTTCTACTAAATACTGAGCAAAGGGTCTGAATACTTATGACCATGTGATATTTCAGTTTTTCTTTTTTAATAAATTTGCAAAAATTTCTACATTTCTGTTTTTTTCTGTCAAGATGGGATGCTGAGTGTACATTACTGAGAAATAAAATGAACTTTTTTGATTTTTGGAAAATGGCTGCAATGAAACAAAGAGTTTAAAGGGGTCTGAATACTTTCCGTACCCACTGTATGGTGTTGGCATATGTTCACGTGTTGTATGCTGGCACTATATCTCCTCGGCCAGGCTCAATAAACCATGCTATGTAAAGTCATCAGTCTCCAAAACTTCTTCATCACAGCTGAACCTGGCTCACAATATTTCTTCAACATGATTCACAATCGCTTATGCTTCCTAACTGTACAGACTGATATCCTGAAGTTTAACTGACCTGAGTTATACTGTAATGATTAAGTGTTCCCTTATAATTTATCACAGAATGATGGCAGCCTCTGGATTACACTTTTTGTATTTTTGTTTATTACCTCTGTTTTCTGCCATCCCTCTCTAGTAACATTTACCAGAGAAGAGCTCTTAAGAGCTCTCTTCTCGCTGGTTAAACTGAGACAGCGGCCACCTGGCGAATGTCTGCTCTCTGGCCAACAAAATGGATGAACTACTGCTCCTCAACAGAACTAAGTCGGACTTCTGCAGATCTGCCGCCCTCTGTTTCACCGAGTCCTGGCTCACCGAGCACATCCCGGACAGCGCACTTCAACTACCGGGTTTTAATCTCTTCCTTGCGGATCGTGTAACGGAGCTCACAGGAAAAACAACTCTGTCTCTACATAACCGAAGGTTGGTGTATAGATGTCACAGTGTTGAAGAAATCATGCAGCCCTCACTTAGAGACATTATTCATAAACCTTTTTATTCACCGCGGGAGTTTTCCTCGTTTGTTCTGGTCGCCGTCTACATTCCGCCTCAGGCCTGTGTTAGTGAGGCGTTACTACACCTGGCCGACCAGATAACTAACGTGGAGAAAAAACATCCAGACTCCCTGCTCATTGTTCTCGGGGACTTCAACAGAGCAAACCTCTGCCATGAACTCCCAAAATAGAGACAGCATGTTAAGTGTCCCACCAGGGACATTAACACACTGGACCACTGCTACACAACATTAAAGGACGCCTATCGCTCTGTCCCCCATGCAGCCTTAGGACTCTGATCACTGTCTGGTTCAGCTTATCCCAACATACCGGCAAGAACTGAAATCTGCTAAACCTGTTGTAAAGACTGTGAAAAGATGGACCAACGACTCAAAGCTGGAGTTACAGGCCTGCTCTGACTGCACTAACTGGAGTGTTTTTGAGGCTGCAGCCACTGACCTGGACGAACTAACTGACACTGTGACACCTTACATCAGTTTTTGTGAGGACATGTGTGTGCCGACTAAAACCTTCCGCACATACAACCACCAAAAACCCTGGTTCACAGCAAAACTCAGGCAGCTTTGTCAGACCAAGGAGGAGGCCTTCAGAAGTGGGGCCAGAGTCCTGTATAACCAGGCCAGGAACACGCTGACTACAAATAGTTTCAGCTCCTCCCCTCTGGTAGGCACTACAGAGCACTGTACACCAAAACCAACAGACTCAAGAACAGTTTCTTCCCACAAGCCATCACTCTGATAAACAGCTGATTTCTGACTCACAGTCTCAGGAACAATTCCTGTGCAATAACCCAGTAACTCTGTCTCTAATCAGCCACCTGTTTACCGGTTTCCACTTATTATTTATTTATTCACCATTCTCTATTTCAGAGCTGTTCATACCGTTCATGTTGTATATTGTATATACTGTATACCAAATTTAGTTTTTGTTTATAGCGTGTATATATGTGTTCTCTAGACTGTAGCCTGTGTTTGCTTTTATTACTGTATTATTGTTGTTGTATTATTGTATAAGTAAGCACATCGTGAACAATGTACAATCCAGAGTCAAATTCCTCGTATGTGCACACATACCTGGCAAATAAAGCTGATTCAAATGTGGTCATTCAGAAAAGGGATGTTAATATTCTGTACGTTCATCTGACTTGACACTGAGGGAGATCCTGTTTATGTAAAACAGTGTGTGTGTGTGTGTGTGTGTGTATACACATGGATGAAAGTATATGTGGGGATACATGATGTGTATAAATGAACACACGATCATTGTTTTGTGTATTTGTATATATACTTGTGAGACATGAGGCAGATTGTAAAAAACAAACTTCCCTCCTGGGAAACTATATTCAAGTGACATTAAACATTTCATCCTCATCTGACACCCTCAGCCCACGCAGTGACCTACCACCGCCTCACCCTGGAGCAGGTGGAGCCTCTGATCCGCGGCAGACTGACGAGCATCAAGTCAGCTTTAATGGCAGTGGACCCTGATGGGACAGGGCTGGTGAGCAAAGAAGAGTTCAGACGAGTCCTGGAAAGCCAGCTGTCTGTCAGCCAGAACCAGCTTGACACTGTGCTCAACCAGGTGAGAGGGACATTCACTTTCCTCTCTTTCCACACAGAGATCAGAGGTCAAGGTGAGTGAGGCTTCATTGTGAGACACCCAGTACAGGAACATTCACTCGTCTATTTTTGTGAGGTCCTTATTGTGAATAGTGACAGCTGGGTGCTTGTGAAAACGAACCAAATCTGTATCTGACCAGGTGCTCTAGAAGAAGATGTAGATAAAAAGCTTTTATTAAACCTACTGTGTGGATTTTTCATTGTTTATTACAGACGAAATACTATGTGGTTCAAACTAAAGGAATTTACTTTTACCTTTACATATCATATGTGTTCTTAAGGTCAAACGTGCCGAATGCATTTCCTATCTCATAAAACATTTACGGTGTATTTTTGATTCTCCAAAGAGGGTTAAAAGTTACTTGTTGACATTTCTTCTCATCTAAGAGGCATCTAACTATACTGTGTTACCTATACCTTGCACTTCCGGGTCTATGCGTTCAAGTAATCCAACTGGCTGAAGATCCCAAACAGATCCAGAACATACAGGAGGGATTGAGTATCCCATTTGGCCTGGGATTGCCGTGGAATCCCCCAGGAGAGGCTGGGCCAGTAAGCTAGGAAGAAGGACTTGTTGGGTACATTGCTCAATCTGCTCCTACCTGGACCCAGATAAGGAATTGGTTTTCTGGGCCTTTCAAGGTACAAGACATATTTATTAGTCATTTAACAGGATTGTAAATTAGATCAATTTTGTAGTTCCCCTTATACTCACAGAAGCAAAACTTTTGATAAAAAATTTCCCCCTAGTTTTGATTGTGCCATTAGAATTTCCACAGAAAACCTAGTTATTTCTGCTGTTATGTGAGGCAGCATCCAGAAGATGGCAGTAGAAGATTCTTTTGTCTCTGGCAGACAGCTGACATTGACAAACGATGCTCCAAGGCCGTGGAGACCTGGAATCTGGCAGCTGTTAAAGCAGACGTTTGTTTGCACCTCTGTTGGCTGGCATCAGTTTTTCCTCTGATCCAGCCCACAGACATATTCTTTGCTGTGTTTTATTTCATACAAAGTCTTTAAAGTAAAAGATGAAGGAGCACCTTTAAACCCCCCCCTGGTCTGTGCCAGCAGCAGCCTGATATTGCTGGGTGGTGTCGGATGTGGAAGTCATCACTCTCGGCCTAATGAGAGTGTTGAGGCCTTGTATCAGGATGCTTCTCCTCTCTGGCATTGATCAATCGAGCGTGCACGTGTGTGTGTGTTGTATTTAGGGTCCGTGCACAGCGGCGTAATTCCCCCTTTCCCTTCATCTTCATCTGTGTGCGCGATGCCTCTGTCACTCCGCTACGCCACTGTAATCGTCTCCACTGTTCCTTTGTTCCGTCTCAGCGCTCATGCCTGACAGTTTGACTGCCTGTCTCTCCTACACAGATTTCCTCCCGTAATATCAGCACGTTGTGTCTTCCACCCCCCCAAACACAAGCCCACTTCCCTCCGTCCCCTGCCGACCCCCCCACTCACCGTCTTATTCATTAAAGACATTGTGTGGGTGAGGTGAGTGTGTGTGTGCTTTCTGGAGACTTGTGGAAAGTTTACTTTAGAAGACTATCACTGGAGTAGCAGCTGTTGTTCTGGTGGCATTTTGATGTGGAAGTCGCTTTGTGCTTGAGGGAGCGAGATGCCACGACGAGCAGCCCGAACCCCCCCACTTCTTTTTTTTCTATTTATTCATACTTCTGGTCTCATCCATGGCACATTTTTTAAAAGCAGAGATTGAGATATTTTTTTTGTTAAATACTGATCAATTATTAAAGCTGGGCCTGTAAAAGACAAGCTGCTTGAATAATTAGAGCTTCAAGGGGAGGAGGGAGGGTCATGGACAAAAAGACAATCACACCTGCCAAATCAGATGAAAAAGAGAAGCGGGTGACAGACAGCCAGACTAAGGCAGAGAACAAGACCGAGAAAACCCATTGCATCATGAGAGCTCATGCGCCTTTTATGTTTCTTCAGTGTGATTAGAATTTATTTGGATTCCTCTTAAATGTTGCGGTATACTACCTATCTCCTTGGAAACACACTTTGCAATTTAAAGCCTAATTTGAACCCACTGGCTGTGACAACTGATTTTTCAAGATCGTGGAGAATCTGCAGTCATCTGCCAAAACAATGGCTGTTGACATGTTCTGTTATCTTCCGGTGTGTGTGGATGATCTTTCCCCCTCTAGACTGACCCTCACTCCTGTTAGGGTAACAGGACAAATCTGAACGTGATCCTGCACTTTGAGCTAAGGTCAGAATAAAGGAAGTTGAAGTAATGAAATTGGAATTTTAACGGAATTTTCCATTTTCATTTCTTTTCAAGCAATCACCCATAGCTGAGTTGCACAGGGAGTGTGATGGCTCCTGTGTGAAGCCCGAAAAGCAGTTCTGGTATGAACACACATTTTTTTTATTATTAACTTTTCTTTTGATGTTTTACTAAACATTTTGTACACCAATCACAAATCCATACAAAAAACAGACTTTTACAGATCTTCACCCCACTTAATATTTCTTGGAGATGTCCTCTAGTCTACATGAATAATCACGATGCTTTGTTTCTCTCTTCTGGAGAAAGAAAAAACACAGTCTTATGGCCCCTTGCTATCCATACTATCAGCAACTGACCTCTGTCTCACCTTCAGCCTCAAAGTGAACTGCAGGTGTAACAACGCTGTCACAGGTATATAGAGCATGAAGAGCCCCCCTCCTCCCCTGAGGTGGGGGCTGTGTGTTATGCTCCGTGGCTGCTGATAGCAGTGATAATTGGACGGTGTGGTGTCTATAATAAGACTCAATGCCAGGAGCTCCGCTGGGGACTGCTGCACTGGATTACACCATGAAAGGATGTAGGGCAGGGCAAAAGGGACTGTACTTTGATTATGAGCCACCAAAATAGGTATACGTGTGTGAGTGTGTGCTAAGTATTTGTCTGCTTGATCGAATGTATGTGTGTATTTGTGGAAACTAGTTCTCTGATTTTGTGTGTTTGGGTATGTGCCAACTCCTTACCAGTTCTTCCTAGTGTGTGTGTGTCCATGCATCTCTGTGTGTAGAACAGCACAAGGTCAGAACAAAAGCATGTGGCTGTGCATTCCCCAGGTGTGCCCCGTTCTACAGAACAGCACCTAGTGTATTCCCTGAACAGACTCATCCTGAAAATTACTGCTCAACCCACCTGACGCCAGCCAGCCGCTTCACCACGCTGCTCTTCCTGTCTCCACAGAGACACCGTTATTATGAGGCATTAGCACAGACTCTGGTGCTGGAATGTTTGAAACTTTGGCGTGGGGCTTGAGTGCAGGAGTATGTTAGATGGGGAGTCATGTCACCCCATCATCTTCATCCTCCTCTTGGTTTTCATGTTTGCACGTCTTTGTGTGTGTGGCTGCTGTAGGTGTGTGAGCGCAGCAGTGAAGCAGTGGACTACATGCAGTTTCTGAGGCTCTTCAGACGAGCTTCCATGGCCCACAGAGACTGCAGCAGTGTGAGGTACACACACACTCAGACAGACCTTTTCTAAACAAAGAAATACAACACTGCGTTTGCATTTTTAAGCGTTTGGTGGCAGCAGCTGAACATGCTTTGCATCTGTGTTTCTCTCAGGCGTGGTCCACAGAGCACTTCCATGTCCCTGTTGGAGATACAGAAGCATCTTAAAGATAAGGTGTGTACCCTCTGTTTCCCTCCAATCACCTAAATGTTTGACTAGTTCACTGTCACAAGCTGCAAACCAGGTACAGTCTATTGGCATTAAGCTGCATTTGAATCAAATGCTCAGCATCAAAGTTTGGCAAAATAATTGTTTGCACATACCCTGTTGATGATTCGCCTACTAGTGGTGCTATGGAGAAATGTTTTGATGAGCGGGTCCCCATTTTGTTTCTCATGTTGTACTAGTATGATAAATGTATGCAAATGTGTATGTGGGTGACGCGATGCACATTCCTGCCAACGGTTTCATGCTATTCCACTGATCAGTGCGTCAGATGTGCCAGAAAAAGGCGGGTAAGAAGTGGAATGCTATCAGACATGGATGTGAATAATGCAGGTTTCAAAACAACAGAACAGAAAAGAACATCTTTAAAAATGTTTTATGAGGTAGGAAATGCATTTGTGAGGCCGCGAGGATGCATACAGTGTTGCTGAAACATATCTAAAGACCAGCATTTGATTTTGCAGAATCACCAAAGTAAATCAGCACAAATCTTTTGTGTTGAGTTCAGCTTTGACCAATAGGAAGCTGTCTTTACAGTGCAGCTGTTTGCAAGCTATATGGCTCAGAAAACTATTGTGATAGACTAGTGCTAGCATAGTTCACCAACTTTCCAGTTGTCTCTAAGGTTCAAACTAACTAAGGATTGTATGAAGATACATGGATGAACTTTCTGATGTGACCATTGCATTAGGCCTCTAAATTTTATAAAATTTTAGTCTTCTTAATTTTATTGTATTTTATGAGTCGGTAACACTAGAGCTTCAATTTACAAGCTGCTACCAAGTTAAGCCTAGTTAAAACTAGTTGAAGCCCGATTTGCAAGTTGCCAAGCTTGGCGACTGTTGGGCTGTGATCATGGGCAAATCTGCGAGTGATCAGCCCTGGCCAATCGTTATGTGCATTCGTTATGAAGCGATTTTATTTGGTCAAGTTTCCCTTAGCACTCTTATAAAAACCAAAATATGAAAAACAAACCCGAGTTTTTCTCAGCGTGGTAATCGAACACAGTTTTACTTAAAATACTTGAAATACTTTGAATTTGAAATGGTAATACTAACTGTCTGATCTTTTACCGTGGTTTATCATTAAACCTATGACTGCTTCATCCCTAATTTCCATAGCCCTTATAAATTGTATATAGTATATATTGGGGCTGCCCCACAAAACTTCCCATTCTACTAGTAGCTGTTCAAGGGAAATACAAAACTGGAATAATCAGCCTTCAAAAAACAGATTTTACAAGGGCCAGCAGCAAGCTGCCCGCCAATGACAAGTGCTAATGATTCTGAATGTGTCGGAACAACCAGCAACAACACTGAACATTTTGTTATTTTATTGTAACACAGTATTAAATCACACAAAATTCGCTGTTCAAACAGGGGAATAAATACTTCCAACTAAACAAGAGCAAATACTCCCAGACTGATCAACACGATGGATGATGTATAATATTGCTTACAACTTATTACTCCTTGTTACCGGACTGAACGGAGATGGGCTCTTTGAATGTCGTTGAGATTGTTGTGGACGTAACTTAACCAACTCTGCCTGATTCCGTGGTGAACAGTGGCTCTTGCAGAGAAGTGTGGTAGTGTAGTCTGTGGTTTACATAGGTCTGAATGGGCTCGAAGGAGCTCAGGTAAGAGTTTAAGCGGAACGTGCTGGTCTGTTTGCTTCGTTTAGGTTGAATCTGAGGGTATCTGAGGAGTGGACAGAAATGTTGGAGAGGTTTGTGTGCCGGGTGGGATCGTAGGTGCATGAGGCCGTGGTGAATTTCAAGCAACTTAAGAAACCGAAGGATGTGGAGAGGAACATGGCTTCAAGGGTCAAATCAATAGAGGGATCAGTCAATCAAATCAATAAGTATCCTGCGCAGAGAGTTCGGATGCAACGGGCGAGGAGGTCTGGTGTCAGGGGTAATTGTTTTGGAGTGAGCCAAGGTTCTGCTTTCCGAAGGCCTTGATTAGCATGGGATGTGGGGGTTAGAGATGGAAGGAGCAGGTGCTCGGGAAAGGAGTTTGATGCAGAAGTTTATCCAGCTAAGGTACAGGTGGATGGCAGATGTTATGGTTTGAGGACTGAGTGGGCGTTGGTGATGAAGTTGGTTAAAGATACAATGTTGATGGAAGGAAACGGCCGGCCGATCGAAAGACGGTTGTGAGAAATGAAACAAAGGAGAGAGAAAGGGTTTGGAGGTTATATTCATATGTGCAGGTGGTTGAAATAGTGACAGAGAGAGGCGTGGTCCTGTTCCTGAACTTTAGTTCTATAACTTAATTTCTGTACCGGTCACATCTACACGCATGCTGCGGTGCACAATGGTTTGTGTCAAGCGCACAGCAGCAAAGACATTAACTGATCAGCCACACACACATGCTGAAAACGTGGATGAAGTAGACACAACACTTACAATTTGTAAACCTGATCACTCAGGTAAATAAACAGCTGCCACAGTGGGCTATATTTCTTTTCTTTTTGAGAGGTCTCTGAGAGAAAGAAGGTCTTGTAACCTGCAGCAGTTTTGGAGAGCTGATGCTAACTGGGGTCCAAAGAAAGAAAGAAAGAATTTTCCATGCATTAAACTAAAGTCAAGATGGTGCCGCATTAGCCAGTTGCTGCAGCTGGGACTGTGTGTGTGTTTAGTGTATTTCTTGTGTTCTGCTGGCTTCATTACTTCATTGGCAAGTGTGCTCTGACAAACAAATGAATGAAACACTAACCTGACTGTGTGTGTGAGGGAGTGATTCATGTGGCAGCAGACCATTTTTGGGGGGGGGGGGCATGGTGCCAGCTCTTGCAGAATTCAGGCTCTACGTAGGAAGCATGACAGAATTGACTCTGGATTTGTGCTGCTTGTGTTCCACATATTAAACCAGGCTGTTGATGTTGTGGTGAATTGCTGAAAATTTACCAAATCCTCTCTGTGGATAAATGAATGCCTGAGGGCTATCAGGGCTGTCCTTATCCTTACCACAGGCATATGCATGTGTGTGTGAGTGTGTTGAATTGTATGTTGCTGTATTCAGGAAAAATCTCTCTTACAGCCCACGTTCTTCAGTCGACACAATACACGTTTATTTGTAGTCCATCCATATCCTCCTCTTTCTACATAATGCCATTCTTTCTGTGTATATGCTTTTGCTACTTATCTTACCAGCTGACCGGATGTGTCTAAGGAGAGTGACTTATAGCAACAATAATATGATGTCAACCAGGGCTATAAGAAAAGACAGACGATGTCACAGTACGCCAATTGATAGTAATTTTCAACACTCACATGGGCAATAATGGAGAAAGACTCTTAGTCTTAGAGCTAGGTTGAGAAGCTCACACATCGGGAGGAATTCATATATTTTAATGACAGAACAAGAATGTCATATTGCAGCGGACCCTTTATGTTGCAAACATCTACAGTGGGTGTGGCAGTATTCTGCAAAGATTCAAGGCAAAGACAATACAACTAAAATAGGACCAGAAAAGTATCCACAAACAAAATTAAATACATAAAATAAAAAAAATATAGGCTGTAGATGTTATTAGCCCTAAAACTTTGAGAATGTATGTATGGATAAGAATGGCAATCAAGATGCTGGAAAGGATATTTGAAGACGAATCGTGGACCTCTGTGATCCATTGCATATAAGGAGAGGCAGGCAGCGTTCCACATGAATGTCGAGCTAACAATGAAGCATATAGCAGTGGCTTTTATGAGGTCATGCAAGCTACCAAAGTAGTGCAAAAGGACTGCTGTGAATGGTCACCATTGTTCTTCTCCTGTTTTGTGCTCATGTTGCTGTTTTAAATATCCCTCCAGTAGTGATTGTTTCGCTTTTCTTCCATCGGTATATTTAGCAGTTGTTCACGCACAGCCAATTCTCCAATGGTCCTCCTTTATGGCACCAACTGTGGTTGCTAGGAGACTTGTGATGCAATCATAAAGCCTCTACATACACTACCTCCTTCTATCCAAACAAATGCCAGTCACTTCTAAATCCATCTCCATAAACACTCTGCATTGGACTTCTGTTACAAAGACAAATGGTTCTGTTGTCACAGCCACAGTATGAGGATGTTGGCCTACCCAGGTAGTGACCTCTCTGAGGGACAAAAAGAGGCTGTGTTTAAGAGAAAGTTGTGCTGAATAAATCTGATCTTCTGAGGGCTGTTTACTGAATAAACAAGAAAGCCACCAGGGAATCCTCTCTGCAGTACAGTTTTGGTGACTTTGATCTCTGTCAATTACTGTAATAAGTGTGTGTGTGTGTGTGTGTGTGTGTGTGTGTGTGTGTGTGTGTGTGTGTGTGTGTGTGTGTGTGTGTGTGTGTGTGTGTGTGTGAGTGTGTGTGTGTATGTGTGTGTGCGCACACGCACGTGAACGGTCACTGTCTGATGAGTCGTCTTGGAGGACCAGCTGGGACTGATAATGAGAAATGCACACACACATATGATGAAGTACCAGTCACAGCTGTTTACCCCATGTGCTTGTCTCACTTATCAATATTCAATTAAGATCACTGCACACACACAGACACACACACAGCCATTCAAAGATAGAATGAAGGATGTTTCTCAACTGTTATTAACTCCATCTGTGTCTTAATCTCTTCTCTGGGTTTTGTTCATAACTTTCATTCGTTGGGATTCCTAAACACCGATCTGTGGCCCATTTCAAGTATTTTGTGAGTACTTATTCACAGTTGGTGGCAGCGTTACATTTCATAGGGGTCAGACGTGGATGAGTCAGCATTATGATACAGCTGTTAACTGCTGAATTTTGAAGAAAACACTGACTTCTTCAATTTGAACTGTTACAAAAAATTTACTTTTGTTTTGTCTGCTTAAAAGGTGGGGTAAGTGATTCTGGAGAAATCCAATAACATGACAAATACCAGGATATAGACCGAACAGTGACACAGCAATTAATGTAGCCAACGCTAGCTGTTGTGAGT